TCACAAGTTGGGAGAGGGTAGGTTTAGGTTAGATATCAGGAGGCGCTACTTCACGGTCAGGGTGGCTAGGGTCTGGAACCAACTTCCAAGAGAAGTGGTGCAGGCTCCTACCCTGGGGGTTTTTAAGAGGAGGTTAGATGAACACCTTGCTGAGGTCGTTTGACCCCGGTACTCTTTCCTGCCATGGCAGGGGGTCGGACTAAATGATCTTCTCAGGTCCCTTCCGACCCTAGAAACTATGAAACTATAACTATATATATTATCTTCAAAATGAAATGGATTTTTTTTAATATAAGACTTTATTATTTGGCTGTGCCTACATATAATAGAAATCTAGTGTTTAGATTGTGAGTTTTCAGTTTACAAAACATAGCTAATTGCTGTACTTTAAATTGATTATAGACTTCAAGCTCTTGCTAGCCTCTTGCTGGCAAAGTTATTTTATGAAGAAGACCATGATTTTGAATTTTTCACATTTAGAGGATGTAACCATGATATTTTGATTAATAAATCTTATCTTCTAGAAATACATTTAATGATTTTGGAACAGCCTTTACATAAAAAAGAATGAATTTTGAATCCATGGATTTTTAATTTTTTTTTACTCTTGTAGTTAAGTGATGCTAGTGAGCAGAACAAGAAGTTGGAAGTCGAAGCAAGAAAAGTTCAAGCCCGGTTAGAGAATTTACAAGTAAGATTTGAAGATCTTCCTTATTGCTTCTTCTCTTGTAATAGACAAGTCAAATGTAATTTATTAATATGCTGTCTTATAGAGAAAGCATGAGTTTTTGGTAATACAGAAGTCAAAAGATGTTTCTCAAGCAGTGCAACAAAGTAAACCTGTCAAGCAGGAAAAAACGGTATCAACATCAAAAATTGCTAAGGTAAGGCATGAGCAAGACAGAAAGAAAGCCCTTCTCTCTTATTAAATGTCGTTAGATATTGGTACTTTTTAAACATCCATTTCCTTTGCTTTTCCCGCATGACACTAGTGAAACTCATTTACTGATTTTATTTTTTTTCATCAAGGAAAAGGATTGAAGTCTTCAAGGCAATAGAGCACTGGAATTGAAATGTAGATTAGTTAGACTATATACCTGAAAAAAATAGTGTTTGACAAAGAAGTAGTACACCAACACAATATCCTTTTTCTTTTATGTTGTATATCATCTCTTCCTCTCTTTCATCCCCTTTTCCCTGTTGTACTGTCTTTGGGGGTTGGAAAGTGCTTAAGTGGGTGCATCTACACATGTGCTTTAATGCTCAGTAGACTATTTTACTCCGCATTAAAGTATCACATAAAAAAGTGACATTATGCTGATGCACAATAAAATAATCTACTGTGCCTTAAGCATCACTAAAAAGGCATGCAAATGCACTACTGAACAGTAGCACAGTCTAATGCGCATTAATTTAGTATTTCACATTGGAGGTACTAAATTCTAATTTGCATTAGAAAAGGTGCATTCATGCACATGTAGATGCATCCAGTATATTTTCATACTTCTGCAATATATACCACAATATCTTTATATCTATTTCTCAATAGTTAACCAAAAAAGAAAACTATTAAGTGATGTCATGTACAAGAAGATTAGCTCTGAAAACTTCCATAGGTGATTGTGCTTCTAGTGAGGAGAAAATAAAATTAATGCAGATGTGTTCAGTATTAATTGTAGTATAATTAACTTCCTTTCTATCTTGGAAGTTACTTCTTTTTTTTCTATCTTGATAGGTACTCCTTGGCCTTTTGTTAGTATTCTGTAATATTTCACTACTAGCCAATTGCCTGTTATAAATGACACAGTGTTTCAGGGGGTGTTTACATGGCACCCCCCGCTCACCCGTCAGGGCCAGCCATGTAAACAGTCTCTCCGCCACCGCCACCTCTTCCTCCAGCCTCCAGCACGGCGGCTCCCTCCCCCCACTTGCCTGCCTGCCCGAGGCACATGTGCCAAGCAAAATGCCTTCCTGTGCCCCACTGGCACCCATGCCAGGGATTGCCTACCCATGGCAGAAGCTCTTTTGTTTGAGACCCTCCAAACATATCTAACAAAATGTTCAAAACTATTGTTTTTATACTGTGACATATCAGTCTCTTCTGATCTAAAGGTCTTAATATTGGACAGTATGCTTCAGATAAGCATCATCAACTTGAAGGCTAAAATATTTAATGTTATGGATGTGTTACAGGTACCACTTAATTTGCATGTTTATGACCTGTTAACTGTTCTTATGGATTGGATCTCAGATCAGTACCTCAGTAAAATGAAAGCTGAGGAAGAAAGAGAAAACAGTCACAAAGTGATGTGCACCTCCCAAAAAAATTACACACAAGAGAAATGTGCAAAGGTAAAAGAAAATGGTTTGGATTTCTGGTTTTGTTGTCCAGTTTTGTTTCTTTGTAAGATTTACTTTTGCCTCTAGCCAAGAAAGGAATAGTATGCTGTAGAAATATAGAAGATAGCTACATAGGAATCTTTACATAGTGACCCATCCTAATTTCTCCAGAGTACCTATATAAGATGGATTTTTCAAATTGTTTTTGTCTTAACAGGAATGGGATGTGTTTGCTGTGGTCTGTTTCTAGAGGCTTCATAAAAAAATACAGACACATTTGGAGGTTTGAACAGTGTCTAGCAGCTTTATAGTTATCTGAATATCAAATAGTTAACCTTAACTTTGGCTTCTCAAGCTCTTAATCCCTCTTTGCATTATCCTTTACTAAATTATTTTCCCCCACTGCTATCAGTTATGGATATTGCTTGTGCTGATAGAGAACAGTTTGGTGTTATAAACAGGACAGAGGTCCAACACAAAAATAGTTGGCAGAATTGATACTGTTATATATAATAGTTGATGTGCGCTTATGATTGGAGAAGTAGAATGGGATGGAAGGGACTTGGAAGGGAGATGGAGCATAGGGATGTTTGGGCTAAGTGCCCACAAATATTCTCTGTCTGTATGTAAATCTTTATGTGATTGTACTATAAACTTCAATATAGGATAACAAACTGATAAAAGAGATTAATTCCTGATGAATACATGTACATCTCTTTTTGTGTCCGAAAGAGTAACAGCTATATTACTGTGAAAAAAGTTAGAAATGACTGAAAGTCCTGTTCTATCTTTCTGTTAAAAAAAAAAAAAGAAAAGAAAGAAAGAAAAATCTCCCCCTCCTTTGCACCACACATACTCAAAATCCTGCCCTATCAAGTTTTTATAAATAATAAATGTTTAGCAAATAAATATTGATTTTTGAAAACATTGGGTTTTTTGAGAAATAATCATTGCTTATCAAAAATATTAACAAGAAAAGTAAGACTACCTTGAATAAATTCCAGCCAGAACCTGATTTGGAATATCTGAAAATTTTGTGAAGAGAAACTGAACTAGTTACATGGAGAAATCAAAGCACATTCAAACTAATGTTGTGTGATCACGTGCACTATGACCCAGCTACCTAAAACAAAAGAGAGAGAGAGAGAGAGAAAATTTTACACCATTTTTAATGTATGTTTCCTAATTGGGGCGCTGTGCTACAAAGTGTTCCATAACATTTTTCAATTTGATACTTTTGCTACATTATTTGTTAGGCAGTTTTAAAAATAAAAATAATCTAAGATATATCCTATTATTATAAAACAGGGTTTTATGAGTTGTTTAGTTAGCTATATTTATGCTCTTTAAAATTATTGTATATGTTTCTAGCTCCTACCTATGGTTGCCGAGCAACTTCAGTGGATGCCATTTGTAAATCCTCAACTGCATAGGTCTGTGATTAAATTTATTTACTGGGCTCTACGGCAGCTAGACAGTGGGACACAGGTAAGATGAGTATGTTCTTACAAGAAAATTCTTTAATATTTCATTTTCAGAAGGTGCTCAAATACTACAGTATTAGATGAAAGGATAATTTTCAAGATAGTATTAAAGATCCTACACCCTTTAGAAAGTACATATCCAAATAATTTGTCACGGGCAAGGAGCAAATGAAAGAAAAATAAGTCTCTCATTAAAAGAGTGTTTTGATGTTATTTCATATTGAAGCATAGACCCAAGCTGCCCTGGTACTTAAGTGGCTCATATTGTAACAGTATCTGAGCATCTGCAAACATTATTACATTTACCTTCCAAACATCCTTGTTGACTAGAAAAAGTATTTTTACCTGCGTTTTTGGGTTGTTAATTTAGGCATACAGATTGTGATTTGTTCAGGCTGGTACAGGAAGTATGTAGCAAAGCAGAAAAGGGAATGCAGATCATCAGTGCTGCTGTTCAGTGCCTTAACTATAAGGCCCTTCTTCGTTCCTTAGGGTAGATTTCTGAAGTATATAGAAGTGTAATAAAAATATGAAAGCAGTTGCATAATAGAAGCGCAGTGGGTATTATGTGGCATTCTCAATATTAGAAGCAAAAAAGTGAAAAATTAAAATTATTTAGAATTCAAAAGGCAGTGAAAGAGTAAATTATTTTGTACTAAAAAGAAAATGGTCTTAAACAAAAGATCCTCTTGAAGCATTTTGTCAAGTTCAGCGACTTGGATGAGGGGTTGAAAAGCACCTTGTTCAAATTCACAGATGACACTAAGATGTGGGGAGAAGTGGGCACGCTAGAAGGGAGGGACAGATTGCAATTGGATCTGGACAGGTTACAGGGGTGGGCAGATGAGAATAAGATGGGATTCAATACTGACAAGTGCAGGGTACTGCACCTAGGGAGAAAGAACCAGCAGCATACCTACAGGCTGGGGAGCTCCCCTCTCGGCAGCTCAGACACAGAAAAGGATCTTGGAGTCATTATAGACTCCAAGATGAACATGGACCGTCAATGTGGGGATGCAGTCAGGAAGGCTAACCGCACCTTGTCATGCATCCATCCACAGATGCATCACGAGCAGGTCCAAGGAGGTGATCCTCCCCCTCTATATGACATTGGTCAGGCTGCAGTTGGACTGCTGTGTCAAGTTCTGGGTGCCGCACTTCAGGAGGGATGTGGACAACATGGAGAGGGTCCAGAGGAGGGCCAGTCACATGATCAGGGGTCAGCAGGGCAGGCCATACAAGGAGAGGCTACAAGACCTGAACCTGTTCAGCCTCCACAAGAGAAGGCTGAGGGGGGATCTTGTGGCCATCTACAAACTGGCCAAGGGTGACCAGCAGGCTGCGGGAGAGTCCCTGTTTCCCCAAGCGCTACTGGGAGTAACAAAGAATAACGGCCATAAGTTGACGGAGAGTAGATTCAGGTTAGACATCAGGAGGCACTACTTCACTGTCAGGGTGGCTAGGATCTGGAACCAACTTCCAAGAGAAGTGGTGCTGGCTCCTACCCTGGGGGTCTTCAGAAGGATGACTAGATAGACACCTTGCTGGGGTCGTTTGAACCCAGCATTCTTTCCTGCCCATGGCAGGGCGTCAGAATTGATGATCTGCTCAGGTCCCTTCCGACCCTACTAACTATGAAACTATGAAGTTCGTAATGGAAGTTCTCTTAGAAGCTTACTTAAAGAAGCATAGATGGGGCTCCTGTTTGGGTCCTGATGCCCATGCTTAACTCGGTGCTTGAAGTCTTGTTCATTTAATTGAGACAGCTTAGTGTACATAAACAGAAGTATATACACAGTCTTTGCAGATTTGGAGTTTAATTGAATAAATGTTGATGAAAGTAAAAAAAAAATATTTTATGGGTATCTCTGCTTCTTTTTGTTTGAATCTTATTAAAGATTTGTTACGGTAAGGAAGGCACATTCTTTCTCCAGTTCAAGACAGGTTGAGAGGAAGATGCAAATATTTTCTACCGGATTTCACAGAACAACAATCAACTTTATATTACAGAACCAGATAGGCAGAAGGCAAGGTACCTTGCCAACTGTTTCATTCAGAGAGGCATGAACTTTTGTAGGCTACAGCTTACATCGTCAGATACTATGAATGGTCTTGCAGAGAGCAGGGATAGAGAGTAGAAAAGGACAAAATTATTTAAATACAAAGGACAGGGAAGTGGGGAGGAAAAAAAGAGACACTGTTGAGAGGCAAATGTGGATTGAAGAGATCAAAAGGGATAAACAAACCAGTTAAACCATTGAGGCTAAGTACAGACAGTAAAAAAGCCTGAGGCTGAATTGATTCAAATTAGGCAGCTTCCTCTAAACTGCATAGGTTGAACCGGTAACCAACTGAACCGACAGTTTTTAATTGGGAAAGGCAGGGGGAGGTCTGCACTGACCCAGGCAAGTAGGCATGGGGCACTAGAGCACATCTCCCAGCCTGCTGGCCATTGCCAGCCCAGCCAAGTGTCCCCAGGCCCCTGCTGTCCCCCCACAGGGGGTTCAGGGGCCCACTGTCCAGGTGCTAGCCCACCTTGGGGGAGCCTCCCCTCAGGAAGTTTCCCCCAGCCTGGGTTCCCTAGTCCAGACAGGCCTTGGGAGCTATGGGAAATTCCCCCCTTCCCCTTTCAAGTTTGACCTAAATCAATTAAGTCTGATACTACATCCAACCAGGTTTATCTTAAACTGGTTTTGATCATTTTGAAAAGCAGTTTATGTGCACTGACCTTCTGTTCTGTTACAGATTTAAACCAGTTTCCGATCACTTAAACCAGTTTATGTGTAAGTTCTGTCCATAGCCTGAGGAACACGGGGATTATAGAAGGCAGTTCAGGTAATGGGATAAGTCTGCAAAGTCTCTGTTGAGACCATAATTAATGTAATCCAGGCTGTGGATTATGTTTTCTTTTGTAGTTGTGCATTCAAATTGTTTAAGAATAGGTACTCAGGTCAGTGATGGAATAAAGTGTTCTGCCATGGGCTTTTGTGTCTTCCTGGAAGTGACAGCAGATCAGTGTTGCTTCATTCTTTCATGTAGGGTTGGCCCCGTCTATCCAAGGTAGACACCACTGTAAGATGGTGATAGCACATATAACATTGGTACAGGAGCAGCTTCATGAACCCTAGGATGTTATAATACATGTGGTTGGGTCCAATGATGATATGGGCTGTATTTTAGTAACTTTATTCCCTTCTGTTTAGTACCCCTGCTTTCTGCAAGGCTACGTATAGCATCTGATGAAGTAGTCTAGTAGTCTTTTTTTTATTAAAGTAGTCTGTAGCCTACAAGAGCTCATGCCTCTCTGAACAAGCGTCACCCTGTCTTGCCTTCTGCTACAGCTGATAATCAAAGCAGGATGATTTGAAGGCTGCCATGGGGTTGCAGTCTGGGCTTAGAATTTTCTTAATTTTGTAAGCTTATTTGTACCTCAACATTATTTTAACACTAGCTACATGGTTCAGATTACACTCTGACTCTTGTGGGGGGTCTGCGATGGTGGCAGATAGAAGCCAGAAGGAGCCACTGCCGCCGCCTGAGTTGCTTAGTCTCTTATGGGGAGGCTCTCATCTCTTAAGGGGGGGCTCAGCCCCGCTGAGCTCCCCCATAATTCAAACCCTGACTAGCTAACTTGATTTTAATACTTGATTTACCATTAGCTTTTTACATGTTACAAGGGAACACAAATACATAGAATATTATTTATAAATAGAATATTTTAAAGAACATCTTCAATTGTTTAAATATTTTACAATGGGTATATCGTTTAACAGCATGCAACTATGACATCAACAATGAGGAGACTTGGTGAAGACATATTCAGAGGAATAATAAGTAAGGGAAATCAGCATAATTCTTCTGAACAACCTACTGACAATAAACCAAAGTCAGCTGCTTTCTTTAAGAGTTCCATTTTGCCTTTGAGATTTGTGTCAACTTTAATAGTACTCAAAACAGTAACACAAGGTAGGTTCTGAAATGCCTTTACTATGCTTAAGAAGCAGCCTGTTTCTGGAAAAAATCAAAATATAAAACCTATCAACTGCTTTATATTATGATGGTATCAGTTGATGCTGTCTTCTAAAGTGAAATAAGTAGTGTAAAACCTGCTACTTTTTAGAAAGTTCTCATATTTCTTTTTCAGGCCAGGAGTGTTTGAGTATTCTGTTCCGGTTTTTTGTATGTGCCCTGAGAAGGGTGGGCAGCTGCAGTGCTCTTGATCCTGTCTCTCTGACATACCTGTGTAGTAGACCTGGATAGTTTTATAGGTGACCTCCTGAACAGGAGAATAATTGCTAGAGAAATTGAATTAGGACAGAAGATATGTCATGAAACTGGTAACTCTACGAGTTAAGCAGAGCTGAAACCTAGGCTGGTATCTGTGTCATTGCAGTACATACCTTAGCTGTCTTCTATCTTACCCCACACCTTCCCATCTCCATTGCTGCAGTAAGTCACCAGTACTCAAATTAAAACATTATGCATTTGGATGGAGTGTGAACATGCCAGTTCTTTGAGTGATTGTTCACACAGATCCCAGTCTTGGTTTCTTGCATGTGATATTTAAAAAATTAGGGATAGTATTTGAATCTTTTGTCTTTGCCTTATGTGCGATTGCAACTCACTTCTTTCCATTTGAGGACATAAAGAGCAGGGTGGGCCCAACCATTCCCTCAGTTCCTTGTTATATGTGGCTTTGAGATGGAACCCTCGACAGTGGATGCTTCTTTTGAATGTTGTACGATTTTAAGTTAGCTTAATAGTCAGTAATATTAAAGTTTCATTTTTACTGTAGATCACTGTAACAACTGAATTCTGTGTTTGTGAAGAACCTGAGGGATAGTTGTGCCTGGTATGTCCTGTACAACACCGGGTAGGTGGGGACAGAAGAGTGGCTTCAGTAAAGACTGGTAGTTAAAAAGAATCTGACTTTCTGTTCATGGAGAACAGAAGAATCTGTGGAGATCACATTGTGAAAAGCAGGGTTACTGATCTTTCAGGAAGTTGCATAGTGATTATTAGCGTCATTTTTTAGTTCTTCTCCTGTACACTAGAGACTCAGGGGCACTTCTGGGCCCAATCTGTTAGGAGCAGGCATAAAAAATAGCTGTTGCATCCCTAAAACTATTTGTGAGGACTATGTTGTCTCCTAACCAGGAGTTTCCAAAAGCAAGAACAGGTTTTATTTTTACACTTTTTTTTTAATGGGTCAGAGAAATGTTTTGTAAAACAGAAAGATAAGCAACTACATAATTTGGAAACTTTATAGTGGGGTACAGAGAACTTTGCCTTCAGCCTGACAGTATAAATCCATTGCAGAAAGTCAGCTTTTTGTTCACGGTCTACTTGGACACTTGAGCTTGCATGAAATATGTTAAAATATTTCTTACCAATTCTAGATTAGTTCTAGTGGAATGAAATCCACATTATAAACTATAGTCTCTCTTGACATGCTGATTAGTAGTCCTGGAACGGAGGTCAAAGATTTAAAAATCCTGGAGATTTGACCCATACTTTTGTACATAGAAGGTTTCCCTGCTATGAAGATGTATAGTGTATGGGTTTGGTTTTATGATTTTTTAAAGAACTACACTATTCTCATTTAATGGAAGGAAGCAAGCTCACTATATGTCACATGTAATAAGTGCTCTTAAACTGGGTTTTATATTTCTGGAGACCCCTACTAAGAATGAATAAATACCTGTTACAAAAATGTTTGTATCAGTCTAAACATAAAAGCCGTTTCATAGCATTTTGCTTTTTTACTATCATATTGTAAGATATGTTCTACCAAAACATCAGCAAAGTATTATGGTATTTACTAGGGCTGTGCGAAGCTTTGGTCACCAATTCAATTCAGAGGAGATTCAGGCCAAAAAGGTCTGAATCGAATCCAAAGCCTCCAAATTCATTTGGAAAAGATTTGGAGATTTGGATCAGCTGGGGAGAAGGAGGCACAGCTGGGCAGCTGTAGGTTCTCCTGCAGCTCTTCTGGCTGTGCCTGCTTCCCTCTGGGAAGGGGAGCTACAGGAGAAGCTCCCATGGCTGCCCTGCCCAGATCCATCCCCTGCCTGGCTCCAGGCTGCTCCTGTCACTTTAAAA